ATGATGACACCCACTTAATATTTTCCTGTTTCATCAATAACAGCTGTGTTTTTGCTTTAAAAAGCAATGTCTTCAGTACTGTTTTGGTCTTCCTGTATATCCTGAAGATAAGGAACTCCTCATACCAGATACTTTACGTTTTCAAGTAATCAGCTGTGATCAGTAATAAAAGTGATGTGCCAGAACACTTCATTTCCCAGACTTTTTAAATACATACATGTAATGACATAGGGGGAAAAAAAAAAAACAAAAAAACAAAAAAACCCCACAACTCACATGATTGAATCTTCTGGTGAAAGCAACAGCATTTGGTGCAGAACTGTATTTCTCTTTTTTATTCCAGCCACAGCTTGCCAGCTCCTGGGAGAAAAAGGATGAAAATTAATTTTTTTAAAATTAGTGCATAACACATATTCAGAGCCAAGAGCATATAGAGAGACAAATGTTAAAAGTTTCAAAATAAGAGAGCAATAATACGTTGAAGTAACAAATATATAGCTACACTTTTTCTGATTTCTTCTGTAAACCGAGATTCCACAAGTGTAATTTCTGAACTGTTTCGAATTATTAGGTTTTCACAACTCATCTTTTGTTGAATTAGGGACTTCCCCCCCAATTCAGCTCTTTCTAGAAACCAATTAAATAATTCAAGATCCATTTTGTTACCACAGAAAATCCTGCTTTACATGTGAATCTGAGCTAGGGAGAGCAGCATGTTCTTTTATTTTTAATTGTTTTCTGAAGATACTTGACATCTACTGAGAAGATACACATCTTTAACTCAAGCTAAAACACGTCCCATTATTTTAACTTGCCATGCTCCATTAAAGAAATAGCAAAACTGTTGTCTTTTGCAGCAACAATAAAAGAAACACTATTTCCAGTTTTCCCATCCAAAGGAGCCAATTTTATTTTAAGTTGAACAGCACTCAGCACTTAAATAGTTTTGTGGAGGAAAAGTGAGCAAGGGGACCTGTTTAAAAGATAATAAAACTTAATCATGTAGTTTGTGTACTTAAGTCACTCTAAAAACCGTAGGCCTCAGCAATCTAACAGATTACTTGTAAAGCCTGAAAACGCATTACTTTGTAATCACAAAGTTACAATGCCTCTTACTTGTCTGTAAAACTTAGCAGTTGGGCAAATACATCATCTTCCTTGTTATTTAGTAGTACCTAATTTCAATAAAGCAGTTTTAACTAAAATCATAAAAAACTAAATGTATCAAAATAAGCTCTTGTATTTGTACATAATAGCATAGAGAATAGATGATCATATATAAAACATACAGCACACAACCTACTCCAGTGCTACCAAGAAAAATAATAAATACAGAGACAGCTTAATTATTAAAGTGGTATAAAAGCAAAGCAGAGCCTTTCATTTTTATTTACACGTGCTTTCTTTCCACATCTTCACTCTGAAGTGCTCTCAGTTTTATCACCACATTGAAAACTATTTACTGAAACCAGTATCACACTATACATCCAGCTACCATGTAATGCAGGTGAGATGACTCAATACGTAACCAATAACTGTGCCATTTAAAGACAGTCACAGTTTAAAAGAATTTGGTATCTGGATATTCTAAGCTCTAAAGGTTTTGGTTGGTTTTTTGTTTGTTTTTTTAATCAGGAACTTCTTAACATCTTTTCAACCAACGTCCCAAAACTACAAAGAGTCTCATGCCAGTTAAGAGAGTCCTTGAATTCTTCCACTTGGAGTTTGTGGTGTGCTGGTATTTGTTAGAGAAGGCTCCGAGATGCTCCTGTCCACAGGCACTGGGAAGAATGCGAAATCTCCAGCTTTGTATTTAGGGCCATTCCGTCAAATTTCAGTAGGAGGTTCTGCCACCAAAACCTATCCTGGAAATTCCCAGCACATTTGGCACAGGAATGCACAAGCCCATCTCCTTAGATCTCTACTTCAATGACTATGCACAAGACAACCACGCAGCCCTGAGTTGCTCCCGTTGCAAAGGAGAGCCGGTTATTGCAGAAGGAAGCCATCCAAGAGACTCTTGTTTACATTCTCTATCCCTCAGCATCTCCCAGTGCTGTAGCTTCCACTAGAGTAACAAATCTCAGCTCTGCACTTGGGAGAATACGAGGCGATTCATACTTACTGGCACCTGATGATTATACTTTCTCAACAGCGGAAAAAATTTTAGTTGCCATCTCAGGTGTAGAGAAAGCACAGTAATTTCTTAACAATTCAGGGCATGTCCTTGTACTATTTCAATTCTCATCACCTAGTAAAAAAAACCAATGATGATTCTGGGCCGAAGTTACCCGTTGCTCTGGCACTGTACATCTAAGGGCTTACATGGTACAGGCACCAGAAGCAAGACCTGGCTTAGCTGGCACTGCCAGTCAATTCAAGCACAGGAACTACATCACTACAGCTACCATTTTCTTATTTTGTGTTATTTATTTAAAATGAGGTGCAAGACAAAGATTTAGGATCAAGAATACAAAGGCTGAACTTTCTTCATAACTAATTTTGGGTTTCATTCCTTTTTGAATCTATAGAATGTTATTTTTCTTGACAAAATACTACAGGAACACTTAAATTATAACCTCTACTACACGGCAGAAGAGACTGTGATTCTCATTAGAATCTTTATATATGAGTCAAAGTGGAAGTTTCAAAAATAGGAGGAGAGAAAAAGCAAGGATTAATAGTGGAACTATTATACAACTTCAGAACAAGCAGAGATGAATATTTAATAAGTGAACCTTTTTTTTTCCACTGCCTAACCTAGTAAAGCAGAGGGGATAAAGAAGTTAAAGACAATATCCCAGTAAAGATTTTCAATGGGAGTACATATGGGTAAATAATTTTGGAGGATGTATTAAAATGTGTAAAATAATTAATCAGATTTTCCAATAAAAGCAAGTTAATGTGTCCTGCAAGGGGACATCTGGCAGTTAGCTAATGTTAATATAGCTACCAGCAGCACAACTGAGCAAGTCTGCAACTACCTTTTTGCTTTATAGTCACTGCTCTCTAGAAAGCCACAATCGCTACAAGAAAAAGAAAATTAAAAACAACACACCACTCTTCATTCATGGGGAATAGATGGAAATCATATGACTGACTTGGGAAACTCCACCTTTTTTTGTTTCCCAAAACTAAAAATGCAAAGTGGTCACTTTCATAAGGACAGAAGTTTATGTAGCAGAGGTGTGTTCTTTATTATCTTCATTTCTTATACTGCAGTCCACTAATCATTAATTAACAAAGAAACAGTAATTCCTTCTACTTTCTTTTCTCAGAAGTAACTTGCAGGTATATTTCATGATGAAGAAAGGTGGTTCCCAGTATCACTTGGAGTGATACAGTCTGTTTAAAGCTCAGGTAGAGGATCGTGTCACAATATACTACCTAAGCCATGGTAACTGCCTAAGTCCATGCTTCTAGTTCACCTTAATCTTGAGTTATGTGAGCTATGTTAAGCTCCCTGCCCAATTTTCATCAGCATCAAACAGGCAGTCGTAGTGGGTGATGTGTAGGAACTCTAGCACACACGTGAACCCATGATATTTGTAGGAAATTTTAATATAGGCAGAAAGAATTATATTTATTTGCTACAGACAGAGGCAAAAGGCTGTAGAAGTATATGAGTATATTAATTGATTTTGATGCTAAAAAAAAATTTCTACGCATTGCTATAAAAAGTGTTATTCAGCTCTGGTTTTTGTTAAGATAACAAAGATGAAATTCTGACATTACTTTTTAAAAAAAACAAACCTACAATACTTTAAGAAAAAATTGTAACATGAAGAAGATGCAACAGCAATTTAGAGAGCCAAGAAAAAATACAATACTTAAAGAATACGGCTCACACACCCTAAAGATGGTGAAAATTCATCTCCAGTTATTTAAAAAAAAAAAAAATCAACTATCGTGGAATACATCTTTCAGAACCCTTATTTGGGAAAAGAAATTCAAACACATTAAAGGGTAAAAATATTCATTCAGATACCACTCTACAGAGTTTGGGAAGCAGAGGAAGATGCACAGCCTGTATAACAAAGATTTGTTGGTGAATTACAACAACCTATAATAAACACCCAGTTTTTAAATCCTAGCACACTGGGAAAGACCTTGCTCATCATCTCCCACCGTGCATGCAGACAAGAGCTGTGAAGTTTTATTCTAAACAGTATCTACTAGCACTGATATCAAAAAACCAAATACTATCAATGCCTTTTAGTCACTTATTAAAGCCTCCGTTTAGAAGCCCCTTTATACAGGTGAAATCAGCTCAACATTGTTTTCTTTTCTAATTACAAATTCAACAATGTTTGAGTGCACACATCAAGGTATCTGTAAAGATTTACAAGTTGAACCAAGATAGGGACATGGTGTACAGTCTAGAAGATACTTCAAAGAAACTCAGAACCTACACTACTTCATTAATCTGCTGTCAAGACACCTTTAGGCAAACTAAGTGTTCCATGTCTGTTTTCCCCTTCCACAAAAGGTGAGGAAAATATTTTAATTGCATCTAGCTGCTTCTGATGGAAAAGTTAATCTGTATGCCCCTTTTCCATCGGGGATTAACACAATTTAGAGGCACATTCAACACAAGACAACAGACTCCTGTGTGCCTGTGAAGGAGCACTGATGGACAAATAATACTTGCACACTGTCAGTGCCTTCAACTGCTTTTGTGCAAACACTTGAGAAGTGTCAAAACAGCTACCCTTCCTCATATACATATTTTCCAGGGAAGGCACCACCTGTATTTTTCTTATGCAGTATGTACAGATTTCTTAAAAGGAATCACTTTCTAGACATATTCACCTACTCTCTCACAGTTTTTGTTTTAGATAAGTTTCATTATTTTATTCTGCTTTTCCCTTTTACAGTTTACAATAAAGAGTTAGAACAGCCAATGAGATTAAGTGTACTTTCTTGACATTTCTACTCATCTCCCAGAGACTTTCTGTTGGTCTACTCACACAACATAATCTGAGACACAAGACGTAGCATTAAAAGAGCAACAAATTACGAGGTGGATCACTGCCACTATATCTAATTTGCTTGCTTGCGGTTGTTACACAGCTGACTGCTCATCCTGTGCAGTGCTAGAAGCAGACTGCAAAGAATAAACTACCATCAAGCTCAAGCAGTGGAATTGCTTTAGCAGCAGATCATTAGGAAAGGTCCTAACTAGTTAAACTGGCGTTTTAATTTTTTGATATCCAGTACTTTGAAGCTCAGTGTAACTAGAGATGAGGCACTGTGTAAAAGCACCCATAGCTTATTCAACTTCAACACTGGGGGGCGGGGGGGTCCTACATAGCTCTAATGCTTAACATTAGAAAAAGAAATACACAAACACACATATAACAAAAATATTTAAAAGAATCAGATAAAAGGGTAAAGTGCTTCAAAGTTTTGGAGAAGAGTTTAAAAAAAATATATATATCCTATTAGAAGATCAGGATAAACATATTCTGCCAATCAAAAAGACTCTAAGGATGCCCACAAAAAAAAGCCAAAGAGATCAAATGGGAGGTTCTTTGAAGGATTTAAAACCAAACAAAGGAAAACAAAAACAAAAAACCCCACCAAAACCAAAAAACCCACATAAATCCCCATAGGTTGGGAAACAGCTTGCTGAAATCATGAAAGGTAAATCATGACAACATTTTCAAGTACATATCAAAAGGAAGCCTTCAAAAAATTTGTGGGTACACAAATGACGAAGTCAATAATCACAACCAAGACATTCAGCACTTTTCTCCACTTGAAGCAAAATATTCTTCAGTGTGCCACAAGAGTGACATGACAAAAGCCTGCTACCTATAAAACAGCTTGTGACAGTCTAAAGGTGACTGATGAGCTGAAAAAGACTTCCACAGTACTGATTCAGTGGACAACAAACTAAAAAAGAAACCTTCAATAGTGCAAAACATTGTCCACATTCTGTAATTGTGCAGAAATAAGGATAAACAAATTCATCATTTATTATAGTCACTGTGAAGACTCTGAAGACACCAGTTCAAGCCAGGCTGCAATCAGAAAGGAATATGGCATTATATAAAAGAAACAAACCAAACAACAAAGAACACAAATCATCAATATATTATCCCAATATACCCACAGATCACACCCATCTTGAACACAAGATGCCGTTACAGCCATTTTTCTTTTTCCAAAAAAGATATGAACCAGTTAGAGAAACACAGGACAGGATGAGGTACGGCATGAGGTATGAGGAGCTGAAACCTAAAACATTATGATCAGAATGGTCAAATCAAGATGTTTATCATTCAGAAACATTAAAACCCAGATGCTTCACTCTAGCACTAGCTGAACATATTTAAATACCAATACTTAATTCCCCAAACAAATTACTAGTTCCAGATATTTTTGTGTTATAAACCCATGTGCTTCAGAGCTATACGAACTGGGAAAAGAACTGACACACTTCGCAATTCCAGATTTTATAACCTGGTATAACTTTTTTTCATTTAAATTTGAAAACAAGACCAATGACCTACTTACCTCTGGCTGAATTGCTTTAAATACAGGGACATCCATTAGCGTTATCTGACCCTGAAAATAAATAAATAAATCATAAGTTAAGTTCAAAATTAACCTTGCATTTCATTAAGTTGCTGTGCTGCATGAGAACTGTATTTGTTCAGTTTCCTTTTATTATTTGACTTTCATTTGGTAGCTAGTTTCAGAGGTTTCGGCTCCTACCACAGAGCCATCCTGCAAAACCAGAGAATAAAGTGCTCCAAACTTTACATTTAATAAAATAAACAGATTATGAGGAATTATTCTCAGGAGCATAATCCTGCACTTATGTATGCAAGTCAGATCTTGAACTCAGAAACACTATATAAGAAGCCACCCAAGAACACGAAGAACTAACTTTACTTGCTCAAGGGTGGTTTCTCTTCAAACTCTGAATCTTAGTCTAGGTGTTTCACAATTTTATTGAAACATCCCTAAAATTTTTCAATCAATACTCAAACCACATTTGAATAACTAAGCTGAGTAATTTTTCAGTCGCATAGCAACAATTAAAATTAAATACAGCCATCTCACTTCCAGCAAGTCAGAACCAGTAAGTACATTTTTATTCCGGGATGTCTGTTTAGCTTTGAAAAGGGTAAAGGGGAACTCTCAGAGTCGAAGACCAGGTTTTGCATTTTGAAACATATTCACAGAGCCTTATTTTTTGCTGTCTGCCTATACATCCAAAAGAAAAAGACCATCTTTTTCAACGAGTACATAGGTAGCCCAGAAATACCAGTGCCATCTGAGTTAGATATCACAAATATCCTTTCACCAATGAATCCAGGGACCTTGTTCAATATCCTCAGATGTCAGCTGCACAGTTTTATTCCCATTTCCTTGAAAACAGTGGTTCCCCCATTCATACACGTTGCCGTACACGCTGACAGGTTTGTGACATTGAATGTCATTGTTGGATAGCAGAACAGCTTCTCAGATGAAGTCAACCTTGCAGAAAAATTTTAACGAGGATGCTCCAGCTGAAAGAAAGCAGGTGCAAAGAGATGTACCTGCTCTAATGAGAAGTGACACGTTTTGCCAAAGACAACCAAATCTACATTTTGTAGCACACCTCCCTGACCTCTAAATCTGTTTTTAGATAGGTATTATGATAACCAAAGATGACTGTAAAAAAATCGCATAAGTGAGTCCCAGCTTCTGTCACTGACACGCCGGCCACAATCATCTGGTATTTTACAGTACAACATCCTAGAAGTAAGAAGCCCTTTATGTGTTTCCTTTTACAAATTCTCTTTCCTAGGCTCTGCTTTAGTCAGCTGCTCCTTCTTCCAAACAATGATGTCTTAAAGCTGTATTAGATTTTTCTAGTCTTGGGCTAAAGTGAGATTAAATCAGACCATTTTAACTGAATCACATACTCAACGACAAAGAAGACAATATACACTCACAAATGTGCATGTCTCAACATCTCTGTAGCAGTAAATCCTGTACAAGCTTTTACATAAACAAGACATTCTTGGTCCGATAACCAACAGGATCAACACTCGCATGTGGTACGAGGCAAATGATTTGGACCTACTATTCATTAATATCCATAAACTATTTAAATGCCAACTTAAAAATGAATCCCTGAACTCCCATTTCTAAATGTGGTTTAACAATCATCTGATTAGCTGCACCATCTGTCTCAACACCACAAATTATACTGTACCTTAAAAGTTTAGATGACATCAAAGATATCAGACTTATCCCTCAAAGTTTGTTTTAGGCAGCAGTAACTAGTAAGAATGGAAATTCAGGAATATGGTAGGCCAAAACACTCTTTGCCTTCAACATAACTTCTCTATTCCCTAGCACCCATAGCAACTACGGTAAAAATACATAACAAACTTTTGCCAAAAGCAAAAGATGCCTTTCAAACTGAAAGCAACCTTGCTAACTGAAACCACTCTATTCTTTTATTCTGAGGCCTATGATAAAGTGACTTATTCTTGAAGGAAAAAAATGGTTTCTTTTCCTAAAATTAAAGAGTCTGTCAGCATTATTTTTAAGACCATCAAGGTCAGAAATACAGAAATCTTTACATAAAGCCTTTTTTCAAGAGAGGTATTTTTATCTTGCCACAAAAAGTACTGACAGCAACAAGTCATTCCTGGTGAGGGAAGCAGACAAATTTGTGAAAATGCACCCAGACAACAAAAACTACTCCAACGGTGGTTAATAAAACTTGGCTTTTGAAGGATTTTGAACATGTTCACGGACAATGCTGATAATTTTTCATGCCATTTCCCACCTTTTCCTAACCTGAGCAGGTTAGTTGGGAAAAGGACTAGGATGGACCCTTGGACAGTAACAGGAGTACCACCTTGCCAAAAGCCACAACATGCTTGACAACACTTTGCTATAGGTGAAGTGTACAGCTGAATCTTTACATTATGCACAGAAGAGCTTTAGAAACTTCTAAACACATTATAGATGTCATTCTGGGTTATGTTGCACTGCACCTGGGTAAGCAAATACAGCTTTATCTTGACAATTTAATCTTGACAATTTAATAGTATGCCCTCTTGTTTGAGGTATCTACGTATAAGGTCTTTTGAGGAAACAAAGAGGCAAGGCATGTCTTTACTGGGGCAGGGAAAGACATCTGACAAGTAGGGGGAACAAGACTTTTCTTCAAAAGTGTGATATTTAAGAAGGGGCAGGGAAAACCTAGCTAACTAATTTCTAGAGTTCAAATGGACTTGAAGCTAATAATCAAGATGTGTTCAGAGAACACTTACCCTAAAAGGAGTTGAGGCACAAGTTTATACATTTATTTCTAAATCTTACTTAAACTTTTAAGATGATAAATTGAGAATGCCTAAGAAAAGGCCTTCCCTATGAGGGCAGCACTTATTTAAATACAGCACAGAAAGTCTGTACCACTGTGTAGGACAAACTTGTGTGTGTTATTTCTAAACTTCCCACTCGCTAGGAAAGAGTAAACCTATCCCAGTTCTGTAAATCACCTAACCATGTATCCATGGCTGTGCAGGTACAAGCACCAAGGAATTACACTTTCTTACACGCAAAGAGCAGAGGGATAGAAAAAAAAAAAAAAAAAACCAGAAAAAAAACAGAGGGACAGAAGGAAAAGCGTGGATTCATTTCTTTAATCTGATCCAATCCTGACCATAGAGCAACCACACATCGCAGCAAGAGTTAACTTTTCCTTTTGATTTCCAAGGTGAAGAAGCCAGTCCTGAAACACCAGTCACAGAACTCAACCTCTAGCCTCCCGTTTGTCTGCTAAAATATACGAAGCTTTCTCAGAAATGTATTCTTCTAGGTAAATATGTGGCTGATTGAATGTATATCTGTGCTTCTCAATAAAGGAAATGCATTAGAAAATTGGTTGTAGTAAGGTGGGGAAGGTGAAATCAAAAGAATGGGCACTTCAATGCAATTTGAATATAGGGTATATTAAAACAACTTGACAAGAGATCCAGGCATTTCAATGGCTATTAACATTTCACTGCAAATCCTCCTCACTAAAACAAGATTACAACAACAGAACAATGAAAGTGAGCTAGGAAATTAATTCATTGTCCACATAAGCGAGAATGCTTAAAAATAAATGTTGTCTTTCTTCCCAGCCCTCCAGAATCTGTCCTCTTAATCAACCTGAACTGCCTTAGCTAAATTAGACAATTACTTGCTTCAGTAGTGACTCCTAAACAAATCATTACTTTAAGATAGGATCAATACCCAATATATATGAAACAAAGACAGTTATTATAACTTCACACCAGTATTCACATATCAAAATAAATGCACGTACTTTAAATGGGGATATTAAATGGGTATGTTAACACTGAAAAACCACACAAATGCCAAAGTTCAAGATTAAACATTCATTACTAAAAAGATTTCAAATTACTATTAAGTGCATTACAATATTTTTAAAAAAGCAAGTCTGGGAACTAAAAAAACCTCAGTAAATTTTAAAAGAGAAACTTTCTTCTAGTATCACATTGATATTAGGCTGTTTTTTTTTTTTAGCTTGTTTGGTTTACACATCTTGCTGCTTTCACTAAAAGCAGTATCAGTCTTCAGTAACACTGTATCACATTACCACTTGTTCAAGAGACATACCTTACTGAGGGTCCTTTCTTAGAGAGCTTGCAATTTCCATTAAGAGTTCCAAGCACTTAAAAAATTGTTCACAATTCAAGAGGGAAGCGACTGATAGCTGAATACCTAAGCTGACGGATAAGAAGCCATCTGAGCTTGTAGATATGACAGCGTACCTCTTGACAAAACAGAATTTTTTAAACATTAACTTACGTAGTCTAACACTTAACTGAACCTTTACCTTTTTAAAGGTGCTTGCTCACTGCTAAGTCAAAAACAAAGCAAACTGAAAGGCTGGCTTCTAATTAATAGCACTTGAAATGACAAAACTTCATCAATAATTTATGATGTAGATGCCATTGCTCAACAACAACAACAAACTTCTACCATGAGCAAATCAAGGGGAATTTAAACCCCAATAAACAAAGCCACTAGTTTGGTTTCTGCAGTGAAAGAGATACAATGCACTATCTTTTCTCATTCCAGCTCTTTAACCCAGCCAATAAAAATTCCTGGACAGCTCTCTCTTCTAAATGTGGTTTAATGTTTTAATATTCAATCCCAAAATTCTAAGTGTTCACATCAATTTGTTACATGAAGCAAGCCAACCGTAACCTCTCTGGTTTGAGTTGTCAGCTGCACAGATTAAAAAAAAAAAAAGAATTACATGTGCAATATGAATCTGTGAACTTACTATAATTTAAATAAGCAATTCAATTACACAAAGATATGGAAAGCTGATATTTTCTGCCTTTCCAGAAGTGCTATGTCGAATTCATTTCTGTATTAAAGCACTACTTCATCGCACAGGCAATGAAAGAGCTGAATGCAAGTTTTGTGTTTATGTCTGCCCTAGATCCTAAATAACAACTCTAGAATATGAATCGAAGAGGTATGTTTTTAATGTATGACTAGTACTTCCCAATTCTCAGCCACTTGAAGAGCCCTACAAC